AAACAAGGCAACTAGATCCCTGTCTTTAGAGCATACATTCTAATAGAGAAAAGACAAGCAAACCTATTTCAGATTGCAGTGTAAGTGCAATAAATGGTATAATAGACTGAGATATGGAATGTGGGAGAGAGGCAGCTTTACCTAGAGTGATTAGGCAGACCTTTGTGAAGAGACCTACAGAATGAGAAGGAGGTAGCTATGTGACAAGTGGTAGGAAAATAGAGGAACCAGCCCGTGTGAAGGCTTTGATAGGGGAAGAATTTGGTGTGCTTAAGGACCTGAAAGAAAACTGGTATGATAGGTGCGTAATCAGCAAGAGGAGAGGTAGGATTAGATGAGGTGGTACCTAGATTTTGAAAACTAGATAGTCATTATGATAATGAAATAATGCAGTTTTTGTATAATATTTGCTTTGTTAAATGCAGAGAAAAGTTACTGTCAGTTTTTAATCAGGTAGTGTAATTCAATTTACATTTTAAGAAATCAAATTTTTTAGCCTTAATCTCAATTTATTTTTAAGTATTCTTTTTATTGAAGTGTTGTTATAGGCAGAAAGATGCAAAATTATAACTATTTTCCTTTATCATTGTGTTGACCTTTGCACTGATGGTGCAAAATCATTGATTGGTAAAACTGTTGGAATCTTAGCATGGATCAAGGCTGTGGTACTGATCTGACTGCGTGTATTTGGGAAAAATTAATCTTGATTCCCATCACATACCATATGCAAAATTAATTCATTTTTTTGTTTGTTTGTTTGTTTTTTGAGACAGAGTCTCAAGCTGTTGCCCTGTGTAGAATGCCGTGGCATCATAGCTCACAGTAGCCTCCAATTCTTGGGCTCAAGCAATCCTCTTGCCTCAGTTTTTCTATTTTTAGTAGAGAGAGGGTCTTGCTTTTGCTCAGGCTGGTCTCAAACTATGAGCTCAAGCAATCCACCCTCTTTGGCCTCCCAGAGTGCTAAGATTACGGGCATGAGCCACTGCACCCAGCCATAAAATTAATTCTTATTGGATTATAATCTGTTAAAAGAAAAACTTCAGACAAATTAAATTTAGTAAAGTTTATTTGAGCAAACAAAGATTCATGAATTGGCTGGCACTCAGAACCAAAGAGGGTCAAAGAGCACCCCCACCCTAGTAGTGTGAGCAGTGAACTTTTATAGGCAGACACAGAAGCAAGGTAGGGAAATCATCTGATTGGCTACCGCCAGGG